ATTTCATTATGTAACACTTCCTGCTGTACAAAAACCATACAATATAAATGTGTAAAAAAAATTCACAACTGGCAATGATAATAAATTCAGTAGAAGTGTTTACATTTACACGAGGATGACGTCATCCAGACACTTAATAATGTCAAGTGTTAACTCCCACTCTATCCTAAGCTGAAGCGTAAAGTCAACTAGCACACACCAGTATCCCCCTCCGTAACCCCAGGGGAGGGTGCAGCACGCCAGGCATGAGATGAGGCTAGGGGCGTGTAGGCGCCGCCGTGTCAAGAACTAGGCTACACCTCCTGCTTGTATATCACACTACTACTTCACACACCACCAAGGTTTACGGTAACTGAGGCTAGCACATGAGTTATGCCGGATAGGACAAGGCGCACACACACATACACCCTTAAGAGTGTGGTGTAGCGGGGGGGTGGTGGTAAAGTGTCGGCGGGTATTGCTAAACATAGATGAAGTAGGTATGGTAAGGCGCCCATGTCTAGCTGCTCTGCCAAGCTACGTACCCCTCACCTAATCCCTAGACAATACGCACTGACTATACCCATATTAACTGTGCGTTCATATATCTTGCTAACAACATCAGTAACATAATCGTAAGTCACACTCCACTGTTTCATGTTAACATCTTGGTTTACGTGTATCACAGCGGGCGGTTACATCACTTATACCACAGCACTTCGTCTCCATAAGGTACTTAAAATTGCTTCCGAAAACCTTTATTACCCTTTAAATAACTTAAGTTGGTCTCGACGTCAGGCGAGGATTCAGCCTTTCATAAAATTCACGACTTACATAACGAAGAATAATCACTTGGTGGTTTGAGGGCTCGCTGCTTCTCTACCTCTCCCTCGTGACGCTTGGACATACCGAGATACCATACTGCCTGAACACCACACTCAGGTCTCGTTCCTAGGTTGTCTCTCTTAGATACATACATGCACGACGTTCAGAGTGTTCGTTTAATCCCACGCCGTCATCAGTATTACTAACACGTAACTTGGCTCGTCATCACCTCAGGAGTTAAGGTAAACTTCAACTTCATCACCATTACTGGCATGTAAACTGCTTGATAATCACAACAGCTAATGTAAACCTGAGTATCACCACCGCTGCTGCCAGGTAAATCATCAGATAATCACCACGAGTTACCAGACCCTTCCATATCGTCAGGTAGGTCTGAGGTGAAATAAGCAACACTTAACCTGGTATGACATTAACGGCTACCTTATGTAAATTACTGAACTAGGAGTGACAATGAAACTGAAAGCTGTGAGAACATGATTTAACAATAATCTCGATTAATGTTAAGGATGAGAAGCCACAAAAATAAATCGGAATGTTTTAAAACTTAATACTGGTAATAAATGGTGGCGTTATTTACCAAGAGTGTGTCGCGTACACTACGTTACTGGCTCGTAAATGTAACCCGTAGTGGCTGCACATGTGTAGCAGGTGTTGTAGTGAGTCATATAGGAACTACGCTCTCACTGCTACACACACATTCATTGATTTGAACCGTTCTCACGATATTAACATGAAAATGTATATTACACAACCCTTTTTGGTGTTTGTACTTATGAAAGTTTTTCTTACTAACTTATCTGTTCGGGCAGACACTTGAGAACAATCAACTGTGTTGACAATAATACCTACGTGAAAAAGTTGTATCATCCATATTATCGGCCTGGACGCCCCCTGGAAATGCACAGGAAGACTCACGGAAAAACACAGGTAATGAACCACGAGCATCAGGCCGCAGGCGACTCTAACTATGGGGAGAGGTGTGTGTGAGAGACAGGTGTGAGATACGGGCGTTGGCGGGGCTAGGAGAGGGGTTGAAGAGAAGCGTATATAAGATTAGATAGAGGAATATGAGGGAGTAGAGAGCGAGGTGTGTGAGTATGTGGGAGTTACCAAGGAGTGTGTGGGAGCAAGGAGAAGTGTGGGGGAGAAACGAAGATTATGTATGTGGGGGTTTGTGTGTGTAGGGAGATGAACGTGTAGGGTGAGGGGTATGGGGAGAGGCGTGTGTGGGGGAGAGGCGTGTGTGGGGGAGAGGCTTGTGTAGGTAAAGTCTATATTTACCTTACATCCTAACTCAAAACTAAAAGCGTGGCGACAGACCAATAAGCATCCTCGCCACGACCGGTAGAGTTCAGCCAATCCGATGACAACATTTGTATTGAAACCAACGAACTATTAAGTCACGATAAGTTCTCTTTTTTTTAGGATAATTTTCACAAAACGAATAAACAAGACTATCATTGAAGGTTGTGTAATCTCAAGCAAAAAACAAACAAAATCGTATAGGGTTCCTAGTTCTTGATAAATAAAGATAGAAAGCTTTAAATCAAGAAGTCGACCTAAATATCCATATGAATCTACGTACTAATCTTCATATCGATCCATAACACGACAGACAGACAATAAAATTTAGGTTCGGTCGTATACAGTTCGTGAGATCCAAGTTACCGTCAACGTGTAGGAAGTGTGCCCGGGGCGTGATATAGTGCGGGGGTGTGTGACAATGCGGTGATACGCCCAGGCCAGGTCATGGTGAGTGCTATACGACTGGAAAATTTATCCATTTCTTCATTCAGCTACCACTTAAGTAAATCCCTGCCGCTCAAAACTAGTCAAACCATAAGTAATTATGTAATACCGTGAGATTTACACACCGATGCGCATGGAAAATACTCATTTAGTAAAGATGAAGCCGAAAAATATATATAGCATTACTGTCACATCTAATTTGGGTAACATTGCACTAATGAAACAAAGGACTTGACTATAACTAGAAGATAATGATTTACAGACAAAACCATTATTTCTTTCCAAACTTTAAATAACAAAATGTAAATATGTTATTCGGCAAATTCTTTCTATAAATTATTTGTTTTCTATTTCTATAAAACAAAAGGACAAGTGGAAGCTCACAACAATAGAGTCAGTGTTGAAGAGTCAACCATGGTTTACATTCTAAAGAGCGAGTCACACTGCTTGTTTGCTTATGCTAATGTGCGCAATGGTTTATTCTTCTAAATATTAATCAGTTTAATATAAAAATAATATCTCACGCAGGTATACATTGCCCTAAGGGTTAAACTATTTTCTCTGACAATTAATTCTACGCAAGTGGTTATAAAATGTGTGTTTTTACAGTTTGCATGTGGCTTATAACTTCAACGTGTTCATAACCGCAATTCATAAAGTTGTCAGTTCTCTCTTCACCCCAGTAAAAAAAATTCTCATTCCACATTTCCCACACCGACCACACGATGAATGTGCAACACTGTGGAAGAGCGGCAACCCTCTCTCTCTGGCTTATCTGATAACTAAACTGAAGAGAACACAAAAGATAAGATAGAGCAGTTTGATTTGACCACCGAATATGATAGCTCTGCCCGGTGGAGATATTGTCAAGTAAATGCACAACTGAAAATGGCATACGCACTACCCAACGCCTTGTAATTTCATAGTACAAAAACCAGCATAGTAAATGAAACTCATAGGCGGAGGGGGAGGTAAACAAACATTACATAAACCAGTTGTAAACCTCAGAGGGAAGTGATAACAAACATGAGGGTGGTAACACGTCTGAATTACGGTGGTGGGTAACATTACACATGGCCCAGGCTGGGAATGTTGGGGGATAGGGGGTGAGAGAGGGGATGGGGACAGCTGGTCCTGTTTACAAACTAAGCACATTGGAGAGGCTAACAGCGACGCTTACCGAGGGGAGAGGCCGCTAGGCTAGGTTGGGCTGACACATAAACACGACCACAATTACGCGGTATAACGCGATTATATTTTCAATAGGAATGATTGATAGCACTAGTGACACTGCTGCTTTGTAAAGGGTAAGTCACGACTACTTACCGACAGTTATATACACTAGCAGAACCGTAACTTACAACAGTAATAAGCCTACACAGGCCTAAGGCCCTCCCCCTTTCCCTGTGGTGGGGATTGGGGGTTGGGTGGAGTGGCATGGTTGGAAGGCTTCAACGGTCGTTTGACTATTCAAACGTAGATAAGTCACGGTGTTATTCACCGTCAGTATTGACCTCAACCATATGTTCAATGGACGGTGTAAAGTTCTTAATTACCTTATCCCATACAAGTCTTCCTGCTTCAGGCTCGTTATATACTCCCACCATCGTGACAAATTAGTGCGGATAAAATGTAAAGCAAACTAACAGCTATATACTGCACACTGCCGTACACTACAAATACCTGGCGTGTGTTGTCGAGAATATGGTTGTTGGCAGTAGAGAATAAATGTAAATTACTTTTATTGCAAGGTTACTCTTAGTTAACATGGTATATTTCTAATATTAAATTTGTAACCATCTCTGACGTCATACTCTGCGGTATGTTTTTAAATGTCATCTATCCTGAGAAGTACTTAAGATATAGTCATTAAAAGGTCAAAATCATCACCAGCCACTACGTCACTTTGGTTGCGTGTTGTTATTGGTATTCCGAGTGGCTGGTCGAGGGTATTACCAGGTAGCCAAACAGCCTCGTCTCTTGAGGGGTGTGTCATAGTTGCGAGGTCTGGTCGCGCCGTGTTCCATCCAGGCTTCGGCTGTGTACCATGTTGTTTTATATCATTACTCATTTCTTCAAATTTATAGAGTATCTGATAAGTTGTCATTGTCGAAATACCGTAGTCAGACGTCATGTTATTCGTAAACAATATAACCATCAACTCCCGAAGATGTTATAACTATTTCCACGCCTGCAATCATTTTTTCTTGCTCTAGGAAAACTTTGAAGCCGAATAATTTTAAGTCAAAAAACCGCTACATAATGATATAAAGGCCGCTAATATCGTTAATGTATAGTTACATCACAATGCAGCTGGACTTGCTTACACTCTTGGCAAGTCAATAAAACTCGGCTTATTGCACTTACAACATACACTCAGTAAACAAAAACATACTAACGCGTTACAAAAGTAAAGCAAATCTTACCTTAGAATTGATTCAGTAAAGTCAATACTGCCGTCTGACAATATTGAAAACCGCCTGCGTGACAGAAAATATCCTCACCAGTGTCAGCCAAAGTCGAAATACAACCGTACTCACTGATTCATTGACACTGAGTGAGATGACGGCACGAGCAGGAGTGGCGCATGTGCGACTGTCACTACCACACCAAATTTTAGATAAAGTTCTTGGGTATTTCCGATCGCCACTTTTACACTCCGAAAAATTTTACTAATTTTCTTATATTGGGATTTTTCTAAGCATACAAAGCTACATAGTCAAACACACAATGAAGCTTTAATTTTCCAATAATTATATTTTTCACAGACCTTGGCACGAATATAACCACGAAGTTGGCACACGCTCCGCCCATTTATCTATATTTGGTAGTAAGAGCACAATAGCTGCTACTGGCAAACTCAAACATTTATTTTCTCATATTACCACGTTATATAATACCTGTTACTGATAAAATATATTTATTTATATGACACTATACTATCTAGTGTTTTCTATTCCAAATTTTGTAAGCATATCGTACATAAAAAAATAACATGTGGTAACTCCTCCACGTCACACACCGGAACACACACTTCCAGTGGACCAACCTAGGTGTGATGTCACGGAACAGAATCAACTTCAATATTTGATTTTCAAATATTTATTAATTTATTCAAGAAAAATTACACTAATCACATATAAAGTTATGATTGTTCTTTAGTAAACAACGTAATGATTACAGTACCATATTTACAAGATTACTGATACAGAGGAACAACTCAGTTTCTTCACTTTAATAACCACTGCTGGCAACTTACACACCTCGCATGATTCCTAACTTTCGGAAGTGTATGAGGAAGTCGTTAATTAAGCTAGTAATGTACAGCATAACATTGCCAGTATTTTTCGCACTTCAGAACGGAGATTATGTATTAGAAAATTCAATATTAAACACAATGTGAGGATAAATAATATTGTGTACTCGTGAGCCAGGAAGTTCCCCCGACATGAATGAGTCAGACGTGAAGGAGCTGAGGAAGGTGGTGACCTGGTTGGCATACTCATCGCTGACGTCACACTATAATATTACACGTTACGTGTTCGGTATAAAGAATGTTGTTTAGGTGTGTGAAAATGTTCCTTTTCTTATTTTCAGTTGATAACTTGGTTAAAAATAAATAAACAGATGTGCCCTGTGTCGGGTTGTTACAATACTAGTTTGCAAGTATGACTTTAATTACACCATGCTAGCCTGTTTAACACGAATTTACAGCCTACCATCACCATAATAAACGTTAACATTCCCCATGAACTGTAACAACGTCCACATATAGCAAAAAATAAGGACAATACGTGTGACTGACATGCGCAGAAATGTGGGGGACTTGAACAGACACAAGTTTGTATATAAAGTTCTCCCCTGAAGAACGAGGTATAGTGACTGTCTGCCTGAGGCTACAACACAAAATTGAAAGTGAAAAATGAAATCAAAATTGCATTAAATTTTATTGGATGCATTCTTTTATCTTCCCAATCACGTACAAATAATGAATCTACAGACCCTTAAAAATCCACGCCTTGACGTTTAAGAGGTGCCACACTTAGGTCACCTGAGCTGGGGTGACCACAAGCGGACTCCCAACCCTGACCTGACCGTCTTGTTATGTTGCCTGGTAAATAAATTGTACAGCCTGGCAAATGTTTCTCAGACATACATAGTTACATTGGGTCTTTATATCATGATCATGTTGTAGGAGCTGATTAGGTTATGTGGCGCAAATTGTAGTCATAATATCGAGAGACGTTGACGACAAAACCAACTCGTGACTGGAAACGATGGTGACAAGGTTAGCGTGGAAGAGTTCTCGTTATTTATGAATATTATTGAGATATACTAAGCGTGGTCGTGGAGTCAAAGATACCAAGAGAATAATGGTGTGACAGAGGTAACCACAAGAGTCAATGGTGGCCGCTGGTTCAGGGCTGAATGAAGAAAGTTGTCCTAAATGTTGCTTGTCTGTTGCAAGATCAGTGAGCCGAGTCGCAGTATCCCAGCGTACGGTACCTACCAGTTGCAAGTAACCCTAAGCACTCAATACTAAATCGCGCCTTTAAATATACTCTGTTGTAAGTTTTCCAGCCACATATTTCCTGGCCTTTACAATACGTATTTTGGTCCAAGTTTATGGTTCATTTTAAACCTTGTTCCCGTGTTCTATACCTAGCCGTTTCAAGTTATAATCACCATACTGTTAACACGTAATTCACGCGACCTTTCATGGCACGAGAAGAGGAACAGGAAATTGAAGAAAAAAATCCAATACACATTGGGATTTTGGACCAGTAATCGTCACTAAATCTGTACAGAATAATTAGGTACCCTTTATTGTTTTATGAAATGGTGTCTTCTAATTCGGTCCTATCTCTCAAAGTTAACCTAATGCTTCATGTTATAACTGTTATCAAATTTTAGTTATCTTACAAAAAATGTGTTGAAAAATGTTAAGTCATCTCTAAAAATTTGCTTACTACTCACGCCAGTCAGCTCCTTGTGTCGAACTTTTGTTGATGCCGCGCCCCTGATAACAACCCGCGTCAGAAAACCTCAGGTACCGACACCCTCCTTTACTGTGGGAGTGTGGCAGATCCTCCACTGCTCTGGCTGTTTATTTAGCTTTGCCACATGTCTACCGAGGCCTCAGTGGCATAGTATTTAGCTTTGGATGAGCGAGGTCATGGCTTACTGAAATTCAATCCCAGGAAAGGCTGAACTAAGATACCAGGGGCTTTATTTTACTACAATCTGGACTATCAAGAACATAAATTGACCCATGCCTACCATGCATATCCTAAACTGCAAAAAGTTTCAGAAAAAACTAACACGAATGAAATTGTTTTATTTTGATACAATAATAAAAATCCCTTCATTCCTCATCTACCACGAAAAGCTTCAAGTTAAATAACGATAACTAGTTAAATTTGTAAACAGCATTATTGAGGTGATAAGATACGAGCATTAGCAAGTCAGGGCACCATGCTAATATTCTGAGGTCAACGTCACAACTTTAACTGACATTCTGTCGAACTTCCTGAGGGGCGCTGTTGTTAGACTGATATAGATATTTGTTCTGTGAAATCGCCATACACGTCGACAGTTGTTCAGCGGTCCGACTAATTACCCAAATGTAGCCAAATGTAGCCAAATGTAGCCGCAATGAAGTCAAATGATGGTCGTACAAGCGTAAATCGGGCTGTGAATCACTTCTCGATTATTATTTGGTGTCATAAAGTCACAAAAAATTGGTAAACTTAATTCAATCTGAGTTGTGTTGTGTTAGGTTAGGTACATGCACTTGATCTATTAACTCAGATTAAATTAAGTTTACCAATTTTTTTGTGACTTCGTGACACCAAATACTAGTCGAGGTTAGGTTAGGTTAGGTTCGGTACATGCACTCGATCTATTAACTCAAATTAAATTAACTTTACCAATTTTTTTGTGACTTCGTGACAAAAATACTAGTCGTTAAGTGATTGGTAACCCGATTTATTCATGTAGGACCATTATTTGACTTCATTGCGGCTACATTTGGCTACGGTCAGTAATTACTGCCCTCAGTACATGCACGATCTATTAACCCGTAAAGTAAGTTTTCCAATTTTTGTGACTTCGTGACAAAATACTAGTCGTTAAGTGATTGGTAACCCGATTTATTCATGTAGGACCATTATTTGACTTCATTGCGGCTACATTTGGCTACATTTGGGTACATTTGGGTAATTAGTCGGACCCGTTGTTCAGCACGAAATCTACAGAGTACAGAGGATTATAAAACATGGACCAGCAACTCGAGTGTTACCTTGTCGAACGCGCCATTACAGAAAACTGTTTTCAGGGAGAACTTTGACGTTTCTTTTCATGTCTCTTCTTGTGGTGGACAATACCTATGTGAGGGCGTCTCCTATTTGATATATTTTTGAGAACCCTGAATATGAAAGTGATAATTTTTATTTTATTTTACCCCCCAATACCCTTCACGTATCAAGTTATCACTGAGTTATCAATGTTTAAAGCCACAACATGCGCTGGAACAAGTTAGCTTGATAACATATTGTGTAAAGCCTTTGCAATACTTTTCAAACTGAAGCAATCACATTAATTATAATTCCTATCGGTGATGGAATTCCAATTTTGTGAACAACTCAAATTTGGTGAAGATGGAGGCATAAATAGCTATTTCATTAGCAAATATCAACAACATCAATGAACAATGAAACATTCCCAGAGCAAAACTCACAAAATATAAAGTTGAGACTAATCTAAGGTTACACAAGTCCACTACAACTAGTACAGAAACGAAGAACAGAATACAGACCTTGACAGTACGCCATTGTCCAGGGATCAGAGGCTCGGAATAGACCTGGAAATCAAAACATTACTATTAAATGCTTTACAATGTGTTCAACAGAGGGAAATTGTATCATTCAGTACAGGTGTCCTATGATCGGTACAACAGAGTACAGTAGTAAATTTTACTTTTATTTTTCTCTTCCCCAGTGATCAGCTCGTTAGCCACTTGGGCAGTAGGTCACGTCTATTACACACTGTTGGCAAGTACTGTACTGTGTATGCATCACTGGCTCCTAGATGACCACCCCCCCCCCCTCCATAGCCTAAAAATTACCCCCGTGTTAATTTTGTGTTAAGAGTGAGAGAGACAAAGAGATAACCGTATACTACGTTACCCTTTATTACCAAACTGAGAAATATTATACTTTTCATCCCCAGAACAAAATTAAATGACACGTAAATCACCACACTCAGTTACACGCAAAAAATAGTGGAGTTGATGAGACAAGTTACAGATGTCCTTGTAACTCTACTTCACGTACTTAAAGAGAAAAATACTGATGTGTTTTATACCTGTACGGGTGTGTTTTGTCTGTACGTCTGTATTTGGCCTTTGTGTATGTATCTTCTGTCCGTGTGGTTTGCTTGTACGTGAGTATTTTGTGTCCGTTTCTTTTTTTCTTTTTTTTTTTCTTTTACGGGGATTCGCCCACCCGGGCACAGGTCACTGACCCACATCAGGGCCTGGGCGGCAAAAATATAATAATAATA